TCTTCTTTAGGACACATAAACACCATATTTTTGTATTAACAAGTGTGGTTAGAGGTTTACCTTGTCTTTAATGTGTGTGTACATGTGAAGGTGGGCATAATGAGAGAGGTGGGAGGAGCACATTATCCCATGACAGGAACACCATGGGGGATATAAGTAGGGGTGAAGAAAGTGGGGAGATGTTCCGATTCTTCCACATCCCTGCTGGGCACCTAGATCTCCAGCATTTTATCTGAGTCAATCTGCTTGAAAAGAGGCTTTGAAGATTTGGCTTCTTTTTATTGGCTAATAAAAAAAACTTCATTTCCTCCATTTCATTTTAGTTCAATGCATATGAAAGCAAGGAGTCATTTTAGCACCTGTTGATGTGAGCTCATTTGGGAATTTGTGTAAAGGTCAAATTTATAAAGCTGACTTGACTGTAATTTAAGTGTAAGGAAGGCATCCCCAACTTTCTTCTTCTTCTTCTTCTTCTTTAAATAAATGCTTGTGGAATGAAAAGCGCCAGACAATAAAAAGGGAATCTGGAGGTGCTTTGTTTATTAAAGGCCTCTCCCAAAAGAAAGAGATTAATCGAGCCTGCAAAAATGAGATGAAATTCTTGAACTTATTGAAAATGTGTTCCCAGTCAGAGTTTAGATGAGTTCAGCACTGGCGTTCCTCCACATCCCCACACTGAAACACTGTGAAGGAAAGCTAAGGTAACACAACCAATGGCACTTCCATTAAAAAAAAAAAACACTTTTTCACATTTTTGTACTCATTCCTTTTGTTTTCTGTAATACACATTCACATAGCTTAAACATTAGAATACTCCCTTTTGTTATGTTAGCATGTTTTCCGCATGAGGTCATATGATTTTAACAGTTGTTTTTACTTTTTCCCTCACTGAGTCATCGCTATTGCATACAAAACAGATAAAAAAAGGAGTAAACAGATGACACTTGCCTTTCACACTCATACAAGCTACACTTATTTCTCAAAATAAATGGGTTGAAATAGAAAATTGATTATTATTATTACTAGGGATGCACCGATACCGATACTGGTATCGGTATCGGGCCGATACTGGTCTCCTGTACTCGTACTTGTACTTGTTAAAATGCCCCGATACCAAACGCCCATACCACACAGCATGTGATAAGTGCCATATTCAAACAAAGAAACACAGACAACAGAACAACAGACAGCAGAAAGGAGTTAAGGATGTCTACTACGAAGTATATGTATGCAATGAATATAA